TCTCCAGGGATTAATAAACCTAATGGGATCTTTGAGAGAACAGTTGCCATGGTTGCTAGAAGTTTGAAATACCAGTCACAGGAATGGGGGAGGGAAGAATTAATCAGGATATCAAGAATGCCCAGCTTCTTAAGGATGGGGATTGACATTTAATTTGAAAAAACGGTCAGAAAACTTCCCCATACTGTTGAAACCTGTCAACGTGTCACCCTTACCGTGGTGTCATTGAAAACTTTAAACACAACAAATTGTATACAATTTAAATAGTTGACACAAAGTTCGGGTGATGAATTCATGGTATTCCTTTGACATGACTGAGCAGAGCGTTCTGATTAGATTACATTTGTTTATTTGAGAGTGGACATAAGGTCCTATTCAGCCCGAGACATATCTCGTGATATGTCAAACTTTGTAAGCTATTGGCACAGAATGGAGGAGATTTATACCGTCTATAGTACAGTGTAGTATGCCATTATGAGAAAGAGGACTGTAGATACCAATCAGACTTTGTCGATCTTGGCAAGGAATGGGACAAGATGTTGTTAGGCAACGGAGAACCTGAATAAGCCCGTTCAGACGGATTAAAGTTTATACGAAACAAACATCGTGGCTAGAAAGATATTTTTAGAAGGAAGGAACAGGAGGTTGCTCATCACAACTTGAAGGGTATTTTTAGAAGCAAAATGAAGGAGTTTAGGAGGTTGTTGTTTTTTAGGATAACCACGGGACCAAACAAGGCTACGAGATTACTTTGAGAACTAAAGTTAAACCAGAATAATAAACATTGTGGCTGGGAGGATTTTATCTGAAGGAAAACAAATCTGGAGACTGTCATCAAGGTTAGGAAGATATTTTTAGAAGGTAAAAATGGTAGACTGATCATCAAGGTTAGGAGAACATTTTTTAGGAGAAAAAAAACTGGAAACTAATCAAGGTTAGGAGAATATTTCAAGACGGAAAAAACAGGAGATTAATCATCAAGGTTACGAGGATATTTTTTTGAAGGTAAAAATGGGAGACTGATCATCAAGGTTAGTAGAATATTTTTTAGAAGGAAAAGGAGTAGACGAGCAGGATTATTATTTCTGTTATATTTAAAGAGGTTAGTGAAGGGGAAATGCCGGCACGTAAGAGTTCTTAGCGGTCTTTTGGGGCAATTTTGACAAAAAGTACAAAAGAATTGTATCTCTAAACAAGGGAGACTGATCAGGTGCAGTTCACTTTGACCATGCCAGGGTTAGGGAATGGGATTATGGGTCCACAGCTGGGACATTTGCCCTTTCCATTCTCCCTTTTGAAAGCGGACAAGTCAGGAAAAGATTGAATACAAAAATAGAAAGAAGATTAATGTGCATTCATGTGTTTGAGGTATTTGACATGTTTATTTGAAGGGTACTGAAATCACTCTCTTTTGTTAACATCTGACCTGTACCTGTGAAATTTTATTGGATGGGGAGAAACGTAGGTTTCTTAATTTGTTTGAGATTGAGACTCCCAATCATCAAACTTACTGATACAGGCAATTCACAATGCAGTGCGCCACCAAGAGGTTGTCACGGAGAGGCTTTTTGGCAGTGCATTGTGGGATAAATAGCTGACAAAGTGTCATTTTGCTATTAAACTGTGCTGTATCCTGAAAACTGGAATTTTAAAAAAATGTTTGTTTATCTTGATCGAAAATGCGAAGTAGCTTATTGCAGTCAAAGGTAGTCAAAGTGATGATTTTGTGCAGTGTAGGGAATGCGTCAATCAATCAAATATCCCCAAATTAGTACGCACGGAGTGCGCTTAATCACGGCAGAGTGCGAACAGTAAATTTGAAAAGTGGCTTTTTTCCGGCAAGCTCTTGGTGGCGCACTGTTTCATGAATCACCCGTATTGTCCCAATTGTAAATCGGGCAAAACTCACACTGCTTGATTTCTACATGTATTTCCCTGAAGTATTTGATATGGAGAATGTGTAGATAAAGATCTCTTTAATAATTATTCCAAAGTCTGCCGTCTTAGATTTATTCAGAACTTTGGATAGCCCCAGATACATGTAAATGTATTAGCCATCTCTCCTGATCACGGCCCTTTTTCATGTTTAGAGTTTATTTTATACATGTGTTTGAAATAGTTAGAGCACCATCCTTGTCACACACAGAAACAGACACAAAAGATAAAATTTCTGTTCTCTATCTACAACACTGATTATTTATTGGGAAAAAGAAGAACTTTTTAATGAGGAAAAACTATCAAAATCCATCACTGTGTATCTCAGGTTGAAAACCGAGTAGTAGAAATGGACCGTGCTATATCCAAGCAATTTGAATTATTCTATTCAATAGGTAATGTCCAACAACTTCAGAGATGTCATTGTGGTTGCAGTTTTGGACCAATCAGATGATCAGAAGTCATAAGCTATAGTGATTAGTGATTATATATAAAAATTGAAAGGCTGAAGGATTACAGACAGAGCAAGGACTGAGATGTTTTTGGATGAAGTTCTTAAATTTGTAAAGATGTCTTTACGCCATTCTCTTGAAAGCAGTCTGATTGGGAGGGGCCACATGTTTAGAGGGAGGGGTCGTGCACCTTCCCTGAAGGTTGACTTGAACACACCAAGGTACTAGGACACGTACATACATGTACATGTACTTAACGAATCTATTGCTTTACTCAGATGTATTGAAAATTCCTGCATTTTCAGGTGCTTAGGGCAATACTACTAGAGTTACAAATTGTGACTCAAATCTGTTAATTGTTATTGGTTCCCATCAGTAAAACCAAAAACACAGCAATGTGATTTATGGGATTGAATCTTTTATAAAACCTGACTTGTTAACACCTGTATTTTAAACACCTTATGTAGAAGCCTGATGGAGTGCATTCAACTGCTTCTTATTTTGTATTCATCAATGGTCCAAAAATGATTATTTCACTGAGTGACAATGCATGCATGTACGTGTAGATAATTGCAGTGAATTTAGGTATAGCCACAAGAACACGGAAATAATGACTGAAATTATTTGAACCAAAAGTAGTCATACATCTACATTTCCATTGGTTGGTGATTCTGAACGGTTGGTCGTTTCTTGAAACTGTTGCTGAGTAAAATGATAAACGCTGATCAAAAGTCAAGATATCAATGATCTCATTCTAAATACAAGGTGTTGACTTGAACATACAATTTGTAAACACTAAGCAGGTAAAAACCAAAGAACAAAAAGCAACAATCCAAAATCTTCTCTAGAAAAAACTTCACAGTCAGATGGCTTCAGAGTAGAAATCTTAACATTAAGTGTTTTCTGTAGTGTCACGATACTAGTATAAGACTGAAGAACGATGATTAAGTTTTGAAAATGTAATGATCCGTAATGATTCCAATGTGGTGAATATGCAGAGATAGATAAAAAGGTAATTGGTTAAAAGGTGTCAGCAGAAATGGGAAATGGAAATTTCTTGACAGTTGTATCGGTTTAACCGAAGGACTGATATTCAGATTAAGAGCCCATATGTGGAATTTAGTTTTGAATCTTTCTCTATCTCACCTCTGTCTGTCTTTTCCTTTGGCACTGAACTGAATTGCTGTGTTGTATATGACATTACCAAACTGCCAGACCAGGGATCACATTAATGTCTATGGTCATGAGCTATACCAAATTTGTTTTCTTTCAGTTCAAGTTCAGGTTGATAGATTTCCTGTCCAAGAAAGTCAACANACATTGCCTTGGCTGTTCAACAAGAACTTGCTAGTGTGTGACTTGACTATCAACACATCAGTGTTAGTTTCAATCCAATCCAACGAAATGCCATGTTACGGCTAATTACATGTACAAGTTTCAATTTCACAATAGTCTAGTCCATGAATACTTTCACTGTGCATCATTGGAGCAGTAAACTATCCCTTTCATCATCTGTGGGTGTTTTGCATCTTACTCAATCTCCACTTTTCTCAAAATCTTTTCTGATGAACAAGATAACACCTCTTTCCCCTCTGACTCTCCAAATTGAATAATAAAATCTCAAAACATGCCTCTTGAACAATCCGTGCGGTATTTAAAAATGCTGTACAATATGTGAGAAAGTCTGTAGGTTGATTCCACTAGATCTGGTCAGAACGGTA